ACACACACACACACACACACACACACACACACACACACACACACACACACACACACACACACACACACACACACACACACACACACACACTGTTCTCTGCAGAGGGCCACAAGCCGTAGTGCATCGATGTGGAGAGCATCAAAATAATCACATCACCATTGATTCTATTATCTCTTCATTGATCCTAAAAGATTTGAGCGGAAACACTGTAATGGTTGATTCTGTCCAACATCAACCAAACTCAGCAAAACTCCAAGATGCAGGCGCCGTATTTGTTGTGTCATAAAAACATGGAGGAAGCAGCAGCAGGTGAATCTGTAACAAAACTGGTCAGAGCTCACAAATGCTAACATCTACTGGTGCCACACTGCGTGTTTAACAAACGGACGTCTGCACTATACTTGTTGTGTTAAATATTAGTTGTGCGTTAGTTGCGTATTAGTTACGTAGCTGGACTCACTGATCCGATGTTGGACAGCGTGAAGGTTCCTCCACTCAGCTCATTGGTTCCCAGCTGGCCAACTGACCCCAGCGCCTGCAGACGGTTCAGTTCTTGCGCGATGTCGAACACACTGAGCAGCTGCACGTTCTTCACGTTTGGAACCAGCAGACCCTGACTTGTGTCCATTGCCAGCCCGATGTTATGAGACGCCTGAGGAACAGGAAACACCGTCATGACCGCCACCACCGCAGCAGATGATGAGGAGCCACAGAGCTCAGGCGAACCAGAAAGTTCGTGTGTTACTGATCTACTGACTCGCACGCTACCTTGTAAGTGATGTTCTGGCAGCTGTCGTCCAAAGAAGCGTTCAGGATCGGAAAGTGTAGGAGACCCAGGGAGGCCGCCTGAGAGCCAATGAGAGCACAGCGTCAATGTGAGCAGCAGACATGAACCAATCAGCGTGCACCTCGTTATGTCCTGTGGTACCTTGATGAAGAAGGGCATGTAGCTGAGTTTGACCCCTCGACCTTCAGCCACTGATCTGAGTTCACGTCTCAACGCCACCAGGCGGGTCAGATCGACCTCGTCACAGTAACCAAAGTGAGGAATCATCAACGCCGCCGTCATCGTCTTCACCATCGCTTTGTGGAAACCTCCAGAAAAAGATATTGAGTTCAGCGACTGAAACTACTGACAATCTGAGCAGATGACAAAATAAATGATCTGGATTTATCTAGATCTTTTCTAGTCTTGATGAGCTCAAGATTCAGTGTCTGCACTTCAGACTTTAAATCAGGATTAAAGTCATGAAGACAGTTTGGTTCAAACCTGAACCGTCTGGAGACAGGTCCAATTCACTGATGACCTCTGACCTTTCAGGGGTTCTGTGACGTCCTTCCCGGTAAAGACAGGTTTGGCTGTGGTGGGCGGGGGTTTAGTGGCAGCCAGAGTGCTCACGGGCCTGGCGGCGGCAACCTGGACCGGTCCTGGAGTCTGGATCTCATGAACTGGGGTCGGAGGTAAGATGGCTCCCGTCTGCTTTGCAAGGAAGTTTAGGATGTCTTCCTTCAGGATCCGTCCATCTTTACCTGTCCCCACCACCTCACTAAGCTTTATCTGAGAGGACAAGGTAAAACCAAGTCCAGGTTATAGTGAGGATAGCCTGAGGATGGACTAGAGACAACTGAGGACAGACTGAAGATGGACTGAGGACACACCAAGGACAGACTTGAGAAAGACTGAGGACAGACTCACGTTGTTCTCCATGGCGAGGCGTCTCACAGCGGGCGTGGCCTGGGTCTTGTGTCCTTTGATTTCCTGGTGGGTGTGTTCTTCTCGAGCCATAGCGGGCGTCTCGACCACGTCCTCCTCCTGGATCACCTCTGAACCACAACAGACCAGTGAGTCTGGATTTGAACCCGGGTCCAGACTAAAACCAGGACATGAGGTCGTCTCACCTGAACTGGACTCCGTCTCGATGTCCACCAGCGGTTTGCCCACTAACGCAGTGGCGTCCACATCGTAGTAGAGTCTCTTGATGACGCCGTCGTAGCGGCTGGTGATGGTGACGGACGCCTTGTCACTCTGAACCTCACAGATGCTGTCAAACTGAGAAACTTTATCGCCCTCCTTCACATACCTGACAGACAAGAACAGGTTCTGATGAAGATGATGTCACAGGGGCAGTATTATTGGTGGGGGGGTTCTCTCAGTACTTACCATTCCTTCACCGTCACCTCCATGATTCCCTCTCCGATGTCCGAAAGTTTGAACTGGACGACTGGTCCTCGATTTGCTGAGGAAAAAACACATATCAGACGACATCATCAGTAACTTTGGAAACGAGGTCTAAAAGTCCACTACCGGAAGTGGCTAAGCTAGCAGACGTAGCCACACGATGCTGTGCCCGAGGGTCTTTGAACGCACCTCGTAGGGAGACATCAGAGACATTTTGAATAAAAACGATGAATTCATGAATTTGAACGTCGGGCTTGTGGACACTTGATGACATCACAGGAGCAGAATGGAGGCGTTTTTTTTGTTCACCCCCCCCCCCCATCCCTTTCAGCATTTGTTTAGTTATATCATCATTGTGTTATTCAACAACATTATTACATATCACATGTTTTCATAATATTGTGTTTGGCAGTGTGTCTCTGATTGGACATTGTCTCTGGACAGTGTTGTCTCTGGTTGGACATTGTCTCTGGACAGTGGTGTCTCTGATTGGACATTGTCTCTGGACAGAGGTGTCTCTGATTGGACAGTGTCTCTGGACA